GGTTCTGAACTTGCCATAAAAATCACTGGACAAAAGCAAATGCAAAAATTGTGCGGCAGGATCCGTACCTCGTCAGTATCCTACCAAGCGGAGTCGCTTATTACCTGTGCCCTCCACTGGTGATTCCCATAGTGATGGGAGTGCTCCTAAACCATCCTCTATGCTAATTTTTTTGCATGGAAACATTCACAGCACTCTCCGGAAGTGCTGTATCTAAGTCCACAGGTCCTCTCCCCACGGATAGTGGGTTAACCTCCCAGGCGAGCCCCCACAGTTCGGTTCCTCTGCGGCGCAACCTCCCCATTTGGCGATCGTTGTTTTTTCCTTTTTGCTCCAATGTATCACCGATCGTCTACGGTAACACACAAATCAAATGATACTCGCGAAAAAGTCCCCAGAAAATAGGCAAAAAGTGGCTAGAACCCGTTTATAACAAACAGTCGCAATTTCGCTCCATAACCAGCTTTCAGGGTTGCTATTACAATTTTTTTTGGCTTAGTAACGATAATAAGCGCTTTGATGCGTTTATGGTAGCAAAATGGGCTACAGATGATGAACTCTCTGTCCAAGCGTCCAATTCTCCGACTACCTTAGCTATTTTCTTAAGAGGAGGTTCATAATTCAGCAGTTTTTCGATTAATACTACCTTAAATTGATATAGTTACCTGAGAAACCGCCATACAAGGCTCAAATCCTTCCGGGTGGGGTGATAGCATCGAAATATTAGGATCGCCATCGGACAAGGGTTGATCTTTTCCAGAACTTCCGTCATTAATTCAAAAGCATGTGTCTTGACTCCACCCAACCTTTTAGCGAGATTTGATAACGTATTTTTTGATAAAAACAGGCCGAAAAACTAGTCCATAAACCAGCTGGGTCGAAAATTTGGGAACTTAGGCTTTAAAATCTCCTTATTTTGGTGAGGACTCTCGTCGCGACCCACACAGTTCGATAGAGAATTTTTTCTACCAAGTTCCCACGCCTCCCGAAGATTCGAAATAGTATACAAAAGTTATTAGAAGAAAACGTAGATTTTTCTGATTTAATAGGGCGACCGCCCACAGAGCCCGGAGGGCAATAGGCGCTCCCCGTAGTAAAGTGCCCTTTGACGAGCCGTGTTCTCTTTGTTAGCTAAATCAAGGGCGTCTTTTCCAGAGGGTGTGAGAAATGGTGGTGTACTTTCGAGGCAGACAAAATAAAACAAGTTGAATGGCTACTTCACTGATATGGGAGTGGGCACACAACTTCACTCCTTTCATCGAGGCGGAACTGAAATGGTCTGCTTCCAGCCTCTCGACTCGAATCATGGCACCCCGCCAACCGATCCTATCGTCAGTGAAGAAGAGGAGAAGCCTGCACACGATGCGAGGTATCGTCTAAGCGTCTCACTATTTTCCTATATTCTAGATTTGCGACGGCCAGGTCGATGTCGGCTCTTATGACGGTGAACTGGCGTCAAAGCTGAGTGGAACATGCCACGATTCACGGGATAAGCTGGTTCGAGGTAGATTTTTGTCGGCTTTCAATATTTGTCTTCCAGCAACAGCTGTTCGGAATGTTCGTTCAAAGATGCGCATCGCATGGAGGTAGTCTGCCATATCACAACGGCCCCACGACCGTGGCCTGTCTTTGTCAATTATGTGAGTTTTCGTGAATTTTGCGCTTTGTTTCGGAATATATTGGTGAACGGATATGATTTCCAGCCCCGATGATCGGCGAGGGAACTGCAACAATTGACCGGGCAGTGCTTTCCGCAACACGAAGAAGCTGTCAATTCCGCGGTGCTGCAAGAAACGGTTGCTTCGATGTTTTCGAGCAGGCCAAGGACTTCAACGCAAGCCACCAACAAAGCCCCCGGAGACGCGCCGGGAGTTCAGAGTCGTCACGTGTCCAAGAATTACCAATCGGAAAAGTGCTGGGTTAGTGAGATTTTAATTAAGACTTTGAGGAGTGATAGGGAAGGTTGTTTTATATTAAGATTTTCTGAATATCCACGAACGCTTTTGTTTCAGAATGCAGCATGCTGCACCAAGATGTAACGCGCCGAGCGGATTGTCGAGCCACGTTTGGTCTCACGCCAAATTTGCCCGGTACATTTGCAAAGTAAGCATAAACTGGATTCACCCTAATACTTGTCTAGTTTGCGGTTGGCACTCCTACACACGAAGCCATCTTGCTAAGCACTTGGACTCCAACGCATCCCAACGAGTTACATGTGATTGAGGATTCGATGTAGGCGTTCGAAAATATATTTTGCGAGCGGTTATGGTGTTTGTAGTTTTTGTTAAGCATTTCGTCTTTTCAGTGACGCCAAGATGGTTGAGGATATTATGGCGGAGGCGACGGACTGCTATCCGAAAAATGCCAAGATGTTGAAAAAGTGGATGGCCGAGAAGTTGCAGCCTCTTGTGGGTGGCGGCCATAGCCCAATTATTTGGAAAAAGAAAGGAATTGGAAAAAGCGAAAATGGGACGGGGATCGAGGGCAGAGATGCTTAGGCTTAGGCTTAGGCTTAGGCTTAGGCTTAGGCTTAGGCTTAGGTTAGGAGTGGTCCCGACCACTTTACTTAGGACAGGCTTAGGCTTAGGAGTGGTCCCCGACCACTTTACTTAGGTTTAAGTTGGGCTTAGGCTTAGGGGCTTAGGCTAAGAGGCTTAGGCTTAGGCTTAGGCTTAGGCTTAGAGCTTAGGCTTATGCTTAGGCTTAGGCTTAGGCTTAGGCTTAGGCTTAGGCTTAGGCTTAGGCTTGGGCTTAGGAAACCAGGCTTAGGCTTGGGCAGGCTTAGGCTTAGGCTTAGGCTTAGGCTTAGGCTTAGGCCAAGGCTGGGGGCTTAGGCTTGGAGGCTTAGGCTTAGGGCTTGGGGCTTAGGCTGAGGCTTAGGCTTCAGGCTTAGGCTTAGGCTTAGGCTTAGGGGTAACTTGGTGGACCACGGGGCGCTTATCGCGCCCTTCATTTGATTGCGGGGCAATTGGATCTATCGGACACCCAAGCACCCATGCCTTTCCTGCCACCACCATGCCCTCCGCCCGGAAATGGCGAATTTGTGGATAGTAAGACGATCAAGCCGACCCCGACCGCCCATGCCTGGGCGGCTCCACCACTGCCGGGTGGGCCACCACTGACGGGTCGGCCGGGAACAGGGAGGGAATCCACCAATGATATGCCAGTTACCAATGATGAAGGGGTGGGGGGGTGTGGATGTGTGTGCGGTATATTGATAACCGGAGACTAAAGCGCTCCAGCCACCACTCCAAGGCCCTGACCGGGTACGGGAGAAAATTTTAAGTGTTGAGCCTCTAAAGTGTTTAACAAGTTGGTCGTTGCCGGTAGCCGCGCCGTCGGAGAGGAACAAGTTGGTCGTTGCCGGTACCGCGCCGTGGGAAAGTTGGTCGTTGCCGGTAGCCGCGCCGTCTAGGTGGAGGTATCAGGCAAGCGGTAGGATGAATCGGGCGTTGCCGCTAGCCGCGCCGTCTTTATGAGGAATCAGGCAGGGGTAGGATCAATCCCGGGCGTTGCTGCTAGCCACGCTGTCCTTATCATGGGTCAGGCAAGGAGTGAAGAATCGGGCGTCTGCCGGTAGCCGCGCCGTCGACCTCTAGTCGGTTGGTCCGTTGCCGCTAGCCCATCGGGTGACAATCTGACAAATGGAGCAGACAATTGTGCCTTGAAAATTACCGAGTATATATATAACAGGAGAACCTAAAGTATATACACACCGTCGTTATGCAGGAAACTGATAGAATCTGCCTGAATAACCCAAAGGAAGAACAGGCTTGGAAGCGACTTCAGGCTTAGGAAGAGCGGAAGCAGAGCGGGGTGAGGGCTTGGGCTCAGGCTGACGACAGGCTTAGGCTGGAGGCTTGGAAGCGGAAGCAGGCGGAAGCGGGAAGCCAGGAAGCAGGCTTAGAGCTCGGGCTTTGAAGCCGGAAGCAAGGCTGGACTGAGCAGGCAGGCAGGCGAGGAAGCAGGAAGCGGGGGCTTGGAAGCGAGGCTTGGGCTTAGGCCAAGCGGGAAGCGGAAGCAGGCTTGGAAGCGGAAGCGACAGGCTTAGGCAGGCCGAAGCCCAGGCGGACTGGGCTTGAAACGGGCTTTGGAGAAGGCAGGCTTAGCGACAGGCCAGGCGGGGCTTAGGCCCGGAAGCGGAAGCAGAAGACAGGCTTGGCGTGGAAGCGGAAGCGGAAGCAGGCGGGCTTGGGCTTGGAGGCCGAGCGGGAAGCAGGCGGAAGCAGGCTTAGGCTGGAAGCAGGCAGGCTTAGGCTTGGAAGCGGAAGCAGGCAGGCCAAGGCCTGAGCAGGCCCAGGCGGGCGGAGAGCGGGCTTGGAAAAGCGGAGCGGGCAGACGGAAGCGGAGCAGGCAAGGCTGGGCTTGGAAGCCGGAGCGGAGCCCGGAGTGACAGGCAGGGTAGGCGGGCTGGGCTGGAGGCGGAGCGGGGAGGCCGGAGGAGGCCAGGAGCGGGCTTGGAAGCGGAAGGCCAGGAAGCAGGTGGTGGGCTTAGACGGAAGCGGAAGCAGAGCTTAGGAGGCGGAGGCTCGGACTGGAAGCGGAAGCCGGAAGCGAGGAAGCGGAGCTGAGCGATGGAAGAAACGGGCGGAAGCGGAAGCGAGGAAGCGGAGCTGGAAGCAGAGCCAGGAGCGGAGCTCGGGCGGAAGCGGAGACAGGAGCGGAGCCCAGGGCCCAGGCAGGAGGCGCCCAGGGCTTGGAAAGCAGGCGAGGGTAGGCTTAGGCTTGGGCAGGCAGAGAAGGCGAGGAGCTGGGAAGCGGAAGCGGAAGCAGGCTTGAAGCGGAAGCGGAGCAGAAAGCAGGCTTGGGCTAGGGCTTGGAGCGGAAGCGGAGGCTGATGACTGGAAAGGCAGGCTGGAAGCAGAAGGCAGGCCAGGCAGGCAGGAAGCGGAAGCGGAAGCGGAGGCGGGCTTGGAAGCAGGGCTGGAAGCGGGAGTGGGCAGGCTTGGAAGCAGAAGCAGGCTGATAGGCGGAAGGAGCGGAAGCGGGGAAGCGGGCAGGCGGAAGCGGGGAAGCAGGCCGACGTGGGCTTGGGCCAGGCCCAGAGCGGAGTTTGGGGCGGGGCTTGGGCTTGGAAGCGGAAGCGGAGCAGACGGGCCTGGAGCGGAAGCGGAGCCGGGAAGCGGAAGCGAGGGCAGGCCAGGAAGCGGAGCCAGGAGCAGGCCGGAGCGGAGCAGGCGGGCGGAGCGGAGCGGGGAGCGGAAGCGGAGCGGGCTTGAGCGGGGCTTGGGCAGGCTTGGAAGCGGAAGCGGAAGCGGAGCCTGGGCTTGGAAGCGGGTGGAAGCCAGGAAGCAGGCCCAGGCTTTTTTTAGGCTCGGGCTTGGAAGCGGAAGCAGGCAGAAGGCTTAGGCCTGGGCTGGGCTTAGGCTGGGCCTGGGCCGGCGGAAGCGGAGCGGAAGCCCGGAGCGGGCCCAGGCTAGGGCGGAGCCCGGAGGCAGAGGCAGGCTGGGCCCGGAGGGCGGGCAGAGGCGGGAAGCAGGCTGGGCGAGCGAGCTTGGGCTGTGGAAGCGAGGCTTAGGCCCAGGCGGGGAAGCGGAGGCTTAGGCGGAAGCGGAAGCAGGCCGGAGGCGGAGCCGGAAGCGGAAGCAGGCAGGCTTGGAAGCAGGCGAAGCGGAAGCTTGGGCTTGGCAGGCTTGGGCTTAGGCTTGGGCTTGGAAGCGGAGGCGGGACAGGCGGGCTTGGGCTTGGGCCCGGAAGCGGAGCTTGGAGCAGGCCGGAAGCGGGCTTAGGCGGAAGCCCAGGCCCAGGCAGGATGGGCTTGGAGCGGGCTTAGGCTTGGAGGCGGGCTTGGGCAGGCTTAGGCTTAGGCTTAGGCTTGAGGCTTGGGTGGAAGCGGAAGCGGAGGCAGGCCGGAAGCAGGCTTGGAGCGGAAGCGGAAGCGGAAGCAGGCTTGGAGAGCGGGAAGCAGGCTTGGGCTTAGGCTTAGGCTTAGGCTTAGGCTTAAAGCAGGCAGGGCAGGCGGGCTTGGAGGCTTGGGCTTGGAAGCAGGAAGCGGCTTGGAAGCGGGCTTGGAAGCAGGCTTGGGCTTGGGCTTGGAGCTTGGAGAGCGGAAGCAGGCAGGCTTGGGCAGCTTAGGAAGCAGGCTTGGAGGCAGGCCTGGGCTTGGAAGCTTGGAGCAGATAGGCAGGCTTGGAGGCTTGGGTAGAGGAAGCTCAGGCTTAGGCTTAGGCTTAGGCTTAGGCTTGGGCTTGGAAGCGGAGGTAGGCTGGAAGCGGGAAGGCTTGGGGGAAGGCTTGGAAGCGGAAGCGGAGGGAGCAGGCTTGGGCTTGGAGGCGGGCTTGGAAGGGGCGGGCTGGAGCTGGGAGCAGGCGAGGCAGGCGGAGGCGGGCTTGGAAGCAGGCAGGCTTGGGCATGGCGGGCTGAGGCTGGCTTGGAGCGGAGAAGGCGTAGGCTAGGCTTGGAAGCGGAGCAGGCTTGGAAGCGTAAGCGGAAGCTTGGGCTTGGAGGCTTGGGCCCGGGGCGTGGGCTTGGAAGCGGCTAAGCGGAAGCAGGCCCAGGCTTAGGCTTGGGGCATGGGCTTAGGCTTAGGCTTAGGGCTTAGGCTTTTTTTTAGGCTTAGGGCCTAGGCTTAGGGGCTTTAGGGGGGCTTAGGCTTGGAAGCAGAAGCAGGCTTTCAGGCTTAGGCAGGGCTTGGGCTTGAGCAGGCTTTTGGGGGGGGGGGCTTAGGCTTAGGCTTGGAAGCCCAGGGCTTAGGCTTAGGCTTAGGCTTAGGCTTAGGCTTAGGCTTGGAAGCAGGCTTGGGCTTAGAGCTTAGGCTTGACAGAAACTGACAGGCTTAGGCTTAGGCCTTAGGCTTAAACTGGGCTTTAGGCTTAGGCATAGGCTTAGGGCTTAGGCCCCAGGCTTGGAAGCAGGCGGAAGCGGGAGGCCCGGAAGCGGAAGCCAGGAAGCCTTTTTTTAGGCTTGGGCTTGGAAAGCGGGGAAGCGGACCAGGCTTAGGCTTAGGCTTAGGCTTAGGCTTAGGCTTAGGCTTGAGGCTTAGCGCTTAGGCTTAGGCTTAGGTCTTAGGCTTAGGCAGCATGGCTTAGGCTTAGCTTAGGCATAGCTTTGCCATGACTTTGCCTGCCATCGCCATAGTCTTAGCTTAGGCATAGGCTTAGGCTTAGGCTTAGGCTTAGGCTTAGGCATAGGCGAGCGGGCGGGCGAGCGGGCATCGGGTATCGGGCACAGGCACCCCTGGAGGGGGGATGACACGCTAGCCAGCCACTGGCAAACGGGAACGGGGATTGGCATAGTCGGGCGGGGATCGAGGGGGGCGCCTGGTGGTGGGTGAGCTGACCCGCTAGCCGGGCACAGGCGAATTGGGAACATGGGGGGGCCCCGCAGGATATCAACAACAACGGAATCGTGAATTCGGTTAATACGCGAACTCACTCAATCACCTAGAGGTTCTTTTTGCATCGTCGAA